GTAATTAAAATATTGGTGTTCATTATGTGGAGGATGTTGAATTTTAACATTTTACGTCTTTATGACAAAAGCGTTATTAAACACAAAATAGGCTCTGTGGAGATTCAAACACACTGGATGTGATTCTGAAAATTTTTACTAACTATGGTGGCAACAATAGATATTTGTAGTTAAGTAGGATCAAGAAAAAAACCCAAACAGAACTTCAATTCAGCTCATATTTTAAAATTATCAAGCGTAAAATATTCTGATACCCACATATAATTGTGTTTAAATATGATTTACTTGAAATGAAAAATTAAGAATAAGGTGAAATTATGGTATTATAAATGTTACTTTGGATCTTAAGCTTTTTGTAGTTTATTACACTTTTGTGAATACTTAAAAGAGAGTTTAGTGAAAACTAATATTTTGCACGGTTCAAACAACAGGTCAATAAAACATATAGAATTTTATATCAATAAGAAAATTAGAATTAATTTCACTGCAACCACGACGTATATCCTATTTTAACTTTGTAATGAAAGTTCATAAATAATAATATAAGAAACATAACTCCTTGTAATTTATATAAAAATACCATGATATATTTTAAAAACCCAAATAGTTTTCCACAAAAAATAATAGTAAAACCTAAAATTTTTACTTTCAGGGAAATCAGATTAGAATCAACGGGAAGGATAGAAGGTTGCAAACAATAGGTCTTCATTGAAGGCTACGTTTGTTAACAAGTGTTTCAGTATGTATAATATTTAAGACTGAGATTTTACTTACATATGCTAAAGTAGCAAGTATATTACACTATGATTAAAAGTGGTTGTTGTATAAGAAAATCACAAAACTGATTTGTATAATTTTTAAGTGAAAAGATAAGTTATGTTACTGTAACAGTTTCAAAATATATGTGAGGAAATATCTGCTTTGAAATAGTCGATAAACTAGTTTTTCTGAGCCTACTAACTGAAATCTTATATGATTAGTTTGCATTAAATCATTTATGCAGTGGCATGTCTTTAGTACAATGTCTCATATTATTTATGTTTCACATATTGTTACACAAATGAAAAATATAAACGAACTGAAATAGTAATATGAACATAATGTAAAAAAAAATTATATAAAAGTTAATTATGTATTTTACAAGCTAAGATGTTTCAGTTTTTACAATAGTTTATTCAATAATCAGTTTATGGAGTCCAACTGAAGATAAAGTATACCACCATTTAATGCTAACTGAAATGTCACGTCCAATATCGTGAATACACAATTAAACTAAACATGAAAATAAGCGTCCTTTTCAGGACAATTGTATGTTAGTTATACAAATGAAAAACGCCAGGAAATGCAAAATCCGGACTACTAGCTCCACCATTTGTATGTGTGACAACGTGACTGCCTTTGTGTTTCCTAACAAACAACAGTGACGTCAGACAGAAGCTTATTTCAAAGTTTTATGTATAGAACATCAAGTGAATGGTAGGTGTTGCTATTTTAAATAATAGTAAAGTTAAACAGTAAGTCAGTCAGTTATTATATTTAGATGTAGCATAATGATATGACTTATACTAAGCATAAGTACATATTTTATCTGAACAACAAAAATCCGAGTTATATGGGTAACATAAAGACAAGCTAATGAAACAATAAAATTGTCGTAAGTTTTCATGTTATATAACCATTCTCTTTAGGATAATAATTAATGATAAATAATTTACATATGAAAGGTCAGGAAATGTAAAAAAACGTTCGCCTAAATATATAACTAATGAATTAGTAAAGTGTTTTATACATAAAATGACTGTATTGCTTTCAGATCATAATTAAATCTAGCCATCGATTACATGTTGAAACACATAGAGAAAGACCATCTACCTTTGTAAAATATACATAATCCATCTAGTAATGCCTATAGAAACTTTATTAATATCATCCACCTATAGTAACAGTATTCCAGAACTTTGGTAACGCCATCCACCTATAAAACTTTAACAATAACACCCGCCTATAAGTCTTAGTAACACAATCTGGATATATAGTAACAGGTCCTCTGGTATTACCCCTCCCTAAGATAGTGGTCCGGCATGGCCAGGTGGTTAGGGCGCTCGACTCGCAATCTGAGGGTCGAGGGTTCGAATCCCCATCATACCAAACATGCTCGCCCTTTCAGCCATGGGGGCGTTATAATGTGACGATCAATCCCACTATTCGTTGGTAAAAGAGTAGTCCAAGAGTTGGCGGTGGGTGGTGGTGACTAGCTGCTTTCCCTCTAGTCTTACACTGCTAAATTAGGGACAGCTAGCGCAGATAGCCCTCGTGCAGCTTTACGTGAAATTGAAAACAAACAAACCCTAAGATAGCAGCACCTTCTGTTTCCACTTTGTGGAACTATGACGTCACGCCTAGCAACGCTCTCTCTGTCTTTTGTCTGTCGTAGCAAAGCTGACATTTCGTGAAACTATTTCATCATCATCTCTGATGTCGATGACATCATCGTCTCTACCCCTCCCCATTGCCTAAGGTGGACACACGTGTGGCGTCATCTGCCTACGTGGCCGTCAAGTGCTGCCCTAATTACCAGCAGCCCCCCCAGTGGCACAGTGGTAAGTCTGCAGACTTACAACGCTAGAAACCGGGTTTCGATAACCGTGGTGGGCAGAGCACAGATAGCCCATTGTGTAGCTTGATGCTTAACTTCAAACAAACAAATTACTCGCATGGTAAAAAAAAAAACAAATATCATTACAAATATCTTTAACCCTTTCACTACCATGGGTGCAAGCATTGTCACATGTATAAGACATACTAAACAACCTTTGAACTATTCTTGAAATAGTTTAATATTAAGTAAGGCTTGTGAGAAATAGATAGCCAATAAAAGCAATACTTTTCTAGTTAATTACATGTATTTAATAATACACGTGGCACTGGTAGAGTTGTTTATCTATAAGCATGGCAATGAAAGAGCTGAACTCTTCACTCTTAATGGTGTAGTATGATTACCAGTAAAATTGCTGCATGTACACTTTTTACTAGCCAGCAAAGATTGATTACAGATATATTTGTCATAAGACACTAGTGTTATTAGGCTTATTTCATTTTTAAACACGACATTCTTAATTTAGTTCTTTACAGATTTTCAAGAATTAGAAGAGTGTATAATAATAGTATTGCAATCACACTATATTTGTCATATCCATTGCCGACGATGAATTATCCGCTCTTCAGAGGTGCTGTATGGTGCTATCCACCCATGACGTCACAGGTAGAACGAACCCTTCCCCTCCCTTTCTTTACTGCCATCTTGCAATCGATACATAATCCACACACAAACAAGTCTGAACGTAGGATCTGCAATCAGTGTTGTCATTTCAAGCCTTTCTCTTTAGAGGTATGAGATCTTTAATCTTGTGAAAATAAGTCATTTGAAAACAAACGAGAAGAAAATGCAATAATCAGCCGTTTTCATAATAAGACTGGTGTCAGAACTTTTCTTCTAGATGGTAATTCTCAAAAGTATCTAGTTTATATATTATTTTACATTCTACAGCTTATTTTCTGTTTTTCATCACTGTTATAAATTCAGAAACTGTTTTTCTTTAATTGATTATAAATCTAAAGTCGCAAATAGCCTGAAGAGAAAGACGTTTATAGAGTAACAGTTATATGTTCATAATTATTTCGAGGTCTTTGATTTTAAAACTTACCAGATTGATCTTTATTTAACACTAAATATTTGTAGTTACAACACTACAAAACCTTATGAGCGTGGGCTAGGTATATTACACGATATTAAAGTAAAAGTAATTGACTTACCGTATATTTGATAATATTGTAATATTGACATTGATGTATTTTACTGATATTGTAATCGTTCCCCAGCATATAGTGTACAAAATATGTTTGTTATATATTTTATTATATGCTGTAACACAATAATTCAATTCCTTGTAACATTGTGAACATTTTTATGCAATTATCGGTTTCTATCTTCTGTTTTAAACTATTGCAATTTCATAAGTACATAAAATTATTTTATGGAATTAACTTTTTGCTCCACATTATCTTGTAAACTTAGAGAGAGAGAAAAAGCATTTTAAAATACTTGAGAAAGTCCTTTCGTAGTCTTCAGAATTAGTTTACATAACACATGAACTATTATCCTTAACATCAAAACTCTCTTATCTAACGATGTTTGAAATGTGTTTATTTTCGATCCAAGGGTTGTAAATAACACAAAAAAGTTAAACATTTGTACTATTCGATATAATAAACATATCTGATGACAGTTCACTGTTTCACATGGAACATTAGATAAAGAAAAATAAAACAAAAAGTTTTAAGTAGATTTTCGTATTTGTTTGAATAATACATGCATAACTTTTTATATCGTCCTTCGAGCAACATAACGTAGAAAAGATAGGCTAAGCATTTAAGCAGTACGAATTATAAGACTAGCAATGCTGATTAATCAGCCAATCACCAGTTTGAGTTAGCTTTAATCTATCGAATTTCTTGAGAACATTTAACTTCAATTCGATTGTTATCACAGCAGCGTAATTGAAGTACATGTATTTAAAATATTACAACGAGTAATCAGTTCTTAGACATCTTGGAAAATTGGTAAATTTTAATACATGCTTGTTTAATAATTTCGGAAGTTACGCATCTCCTTTTTTAAACAAATATCTTTGTTGGTAGAAATTTGATTATGTACGTGTATGTCCATTTTTGATTTCAAGATTTGTTGGTATTGTATCAACACTTGTTATATTAAGTTTGGGTTTCTTTCGTTATGTTTTTATATTAAGTATCCTAACCGTTATTCCAACAAATAATAAAGACGAGCTGTTTTCAATATGACGATTTATCAATTCCGACAGATGGCACTGAAATCCTGTTATATTCAGCGAAATACACTTCGTAAATGTTGGCATCGTCTTCAGACACTACAATTTTAGTTGGTTGTGTTCTAATATTCAAGTAACCAGAGTTAGGTAGGAAACAGATAAAATCAACTCTGTTTTATTCTAGTGCAACATTTTTATTTCACATATTTACCACAAAACATAACCATGGTTAAACACACGTGTGGCACTTGTTTTTTTAATTTTGTACTAACATTAAAGCATGTACGTATGAAACAGCATTAAACACGGTTCACATTCGCCACTGTGTACAACACTACAAGCTTCTGGGTTTCCATGGCTACAGAAAACGTCAGCTATTTCTTTTTTCAGAATTTGATATGCATTCTTCAAGTATGCTTGAGAAGGTCCAATAAGATGACATATCAAAGATAACGTCACGTGAACAGACATAGCTGCTTGCAGGGCTGTAAGATGTGAATTAACACACTTTATTTAGTTCCAATACCAACACACGTACGAACTACTTATACTTGAAAAGAAAAACGCAATACCAAAATATTGTGTGAGAGATTTGGCATGTGTATACAGAAATCAATCTACATCACTTACACGTACAAGCAAACTGGTGCCACGTGGTCCAAGTTTTGTTTTAGAAACAAGAATCTTATAAGTATGACATATCCATTTAAAGGACATTTTTACAAAATGTTGTGATGAAAGACAAAGTGAGGAATGCGCCACCTTTCCTGTTAGGTGTGCTGGATTTTTACATTACACTAGTCATGCATTGCAAGATTATATATATATAGACTGTATATATCAAACCCTGTGAAAAAAGCCATGCGAATTACGCTTTTCGTTATTTATTTCGTAATGTGAATCAAATTATAAAACAAGGTTTTAACTGTAAAGAGCGAAATGACGGTCTTCTGAATATCCGCTTGACATATCCATTTTCCATCCACTGGAGAAATGAATATTATAATCTACAGATCACCCTATTCCTTTTGCCCCCCCCCCCCACAGTAGCACAGCGGTATTTCTGCGGACTTATAACGCTAGAATCCGGGTTTCGATACCCGTGGTGGGCAGAGCACAGATAGCCCATTGTGTAGCTTTGTGCTTAACTTAAAACAAACAAACTATCCCTTTCATATATATTTTTTTTAAATCGTAATGGAGAAAGAATTCTTTTCACTGAATGAAGGATTTTGTTATCACCAGATTATTTTATCTTTGAATAAAAAATGTCAACTATAAAAATCGTTAATTGTAAATGAAACGCCAATTAAAAGCACAAAATTCACATGGCCGTTTTCCAAATACTAGCAAATATATACATATATATTTTATGTGTATATCTAAATATACAGTAATATAAAACTTTTTTCTTTACTACGACAGTTCACATAAAAAATATCAAGTAGAGTTTTTAAAATACATAAAAAGTCATCTAAGATTCCAATCGAAGCTCAAAATAGCTTGTTCACAAACAGGTTTATATTACTGACATTAAAATTTACAGTACATGCTCCAGGATACGCAGAAACACAGCTCAAACGTACTTCGGTTACCTATTTTCAACAAACACCGATTGTGGCAGTACTTGGTTATATAACTACACTATCTCAGAAAGAAAAGAATCATGCAGCTAAAATGACATTTAACTCAGATTCTATAATCCCAGATGCAAACAAACGATAAGCATCATTGCTTTCTGAAAGAGTTGTTTTGGTTTTGAATATATATTTGTTTTCAAATTTATTAACAAATATTTAAACAAATGATTTTTTTTTAAAGTGAGCAACAACAAAAGTTTACCGCTTAAAATGCCCCTTTATAATATGTTTGAGTATGGAAAAGATTGGCATACATCCTTTACATGTTACTATCAGAGATAAAATTGCTAAGTTTTTCAATTTTATTTTCTAATAGAACATTTAAATCATTCTTACTTCTCTGTGAAAATGTTTAGTCTTTAAAGGCTTCATTTCGTAAGTATGAGTCACGAAAACATATCGTTCAGTATAAGAAAAGGAGGTTTAACTAACATTAGGCCTACTTAATACTTCCTAATGCAGTTCGCCTTTCCTTCTTAACTCGTATAAAGAATAGCACTTGACCCACACACACAGATATATATATACATATTACGTAAGAATGAGGATGAATAACTGGGTTTTTCTTTTTCATAAATTCGAATTTATACATAATTCATTAACTGCACACGCAAGAAAATGTCTATTACAAGAGTGTGTTAATTTTAAATTACATTAAAGAAATATATACTATATTTATTTTTATATAATCCAATCAATAATAGTTAATATTACGTTTACGTTTAGAAATACGTCAAAAACGAACGTTAAAAATCATTCGTAAACGAAGTATTTTAAATGGCTTTATCTACTAATAGAACTCGGATGTTTTAGCTACCATTCTTTATATTAGAGAACAGATATACTAAAGATGTAATTTCAGACATTCACAGTACACTTCGTGAGGAATGGAGGTTAAAAAACTCTAATAAAAACTCGATGAGCTCTACTCCATGGATTACAATAGTTTGAAATCAAACAAAAATAACTGAGAGATTCGTTTAGCTTTGCCTTACAATGATCACTGAGTATTTGTCTATATCAGGTGAAAGTCTAATGGATAACTCGATACTGGAGGCTACAGGTGGGTTATTTAACGAAATACGCGTCATGTTGGTAACACGTATTAGTATATACAAATATATGTGATCAGTAACAAAAGATCTAATATGTTATCTATGCGCAAAGAACTTACCGATAACTGTGTGAGATGTTGATTAAATTTAAAGAGGAATATATATATACATTATACATAGATTTATAACTTAAGAAAGAAACACAAAATAGGATTATTTACTAACAATGTAAGTATCTTGAAGGGTTGAAATATTACGGATATCAGTGGTAAAATTTTCTAACATATTATAAGAAAAACTGTTTACAAGAAGAGCACAAAATGAGAGTTTATGGTAAGATTATTTATTGGTGACACGTTTCATCTCATCCGTGGGATAGATCTTCACATCTCATTTTGCTTATTGTGGTTCTCAAATAGACTCGGATTTTATGGTCATGTGACTTCTTTAGAACCAAATAAAACACAAAGTTTTCATACCGGGAAAGTCGATGTTTTATTTTCTTTATAGTGAAGATGTTTAGATGATAAAAAAACCTAGATGTCCGATGAACAGAGTTGTTCATAGAGAGACCGTTGAGTGAGTATTCATAACAAAACGGTGTGAGTGGATGGCTGTTTTGACGAATAATTAAAGTTGGAACAAGAAAATCTCTATGAGACAAAGACATTTTGGAGAATAAACCAAAATGAAAACTGTGGCATATCTAGCCTTAACTAAAGGAATTTAATGGAAATTAATATTATCATTTGTAGGTTAAGCTCTATGTTGAAGGGTCAACGATAAGTCCGAACGCTTTTAACGCTAAAAACCTGGTTTCGATACCCGTGGTGGGCAAAGCACAGATAGCTCATTGTGTAGCTTTGTGCTTAACTACAAATTATAGATATATACAAATAAATATTGTCACTTGTATCAATCGCCACACTTTATACAGAGCTATGAAATCCGACGTTGAAATCTAATACCAAGCATAGATTAATCCTGAAAAAAGATGGCACAATTTCCATAAAGTATCGTTCCACACGTTAAATCTAATACCAAGCATAGATTAATCCTGAAAAAAGATGGCACTATTTCCATAAAGTATCGTTCCACACGCTAAAGCTAATACCACGCATAGATTAATCCTGAAAAAAGATGGCACTATTTCCATAAAATATCTTTTCACTCGAGGTATTATATCAAATTTGAGTTTGTTCTGGGTATACTAAAGTGTAAACATTATTCATTTTATTGTTTTAAATCACTTTCTTTTTCTTTTGAATATTTGTTTACACCATCGTGTGATAAATGCACTTTTTCAAGACTTCAAAATTGAAAAACAAATTCTTCCAGCTATCTAGTTTGACTAGGAAGGTTGGAGTTTTCCTTCTTTGATATTAGGGCGTAATCTTATACTACGTGGCAAGTCTTCTCTAATTCTACTAGAAGAAATTTTATCACTTTCTGCTAACATGGCATAGTTTGGTTTCTGACTGGAAGCCCTTGCTTCTGATGTACCCGTGAGAGAGTTTCCCGCAGAGGCTCCCGAAATCCGAGTACTACCTAAACTAATAATAATATTTCTATAAATACCACTACCAGGAGTGTCTTCACTACCACTACTTGCACTTTCCTCTACAATGGAGGAGGCTCCTCCATCTACAAGACTCTCCTCGCTCTTTTTCGAATGTATGGAGTTAAGAGCAGTCATTTCTGACACGTGTGCTACATCAGTTATTACGTCTCGTGAAGGATGATCCATTCTGCGCATTTTATTGTAGAATGATGGATTTGACAGAATACTCATTGATTCCTTTTGCTGGTGGATGTCACCCAGCAGTATTGATTCCTTTTCAATATCATCTTCAGGATTATCATCATCATCTATATGACTTTCCACAGAAGGTAATTTGTATTCAACCTCTATTCGATCAAATGGATTTCTATGTGAAAAACATGGTTTTATATGACTTCGATTAATTTGTGAATGATAATCACTCGGTATGCTATGATTCACAAAGTTATCCTCCCCATTGTAGGATAACTCTGTAAATGTCGGATAACAACGAGACTTATTGTAAGCATCATATCCAGTCCCATCTCTTCGAATCATGTGATATGATGACAGAATTCCAGGACCATTGCTGTCAGTTCCCTCTTCCTCGGGTGTTAAGGTAGACAAGAGAGTTTCTGATCGAACAATGCGTCTTCTTCTCACAGGGATCCAAAAATCCAATAGGTCGTCACTTGTCTGACAAGATGCATCGTCAAGTCGTTTTCGAGCTGAGGCTCTCAAACCATCCTGTAATACATCAAATCCGGTTATTTCTTCGGTTTCACTACCGTACGTTTGTTTCAGTAACCCAACCAGTTTTCTCTTTTCGTGGCATCCGGGACTTTCGTCTCCACTGGAGGTACTGCGTTGTGCCGCAAGTTTAGGCTGTTCAGAAGACAGGCCTGAATCAGTATGACGTACCTTCGACTTCCGATCCAAGGCTTCAGCTGCACGTATGGCACGAATGTGTTCAGCAATGGTCGCAGCGTTTTTCTCCTGTTTGTTCAGGCGAAAACGCTCAAACAGGTTCAAACTGGACCGACTTCGGTGTTGTGAATGCAGTGAAGAATCTCTTTGTTTTACGTGGATGTCCAGGGAATGATTCCTAAGGAAATAAAACAAATATTATTTTTAATTCGTGTGAGTTTCAAATAACCAATACTAAAACAACATTTAAAATATTACAAGGATAAAGCTATCATAAGACCAAATCAGTGACGATTTGTGACTCTTTCTCTGTCATTGCATAAAAATATTATATTATAATAGTAGACTTCTGTAATTAATATAAGATTATTTTTCTTAACAAACCCTATCAAAGTACCTAAGTCTCAGTAAGTGATAATTTAATACAAAATAATTTAATATTCGTCAGCAGCTCTAGCTATGGACAAGAGTTTTTTTTTGAGGAATTGGTTATCAGTTTGTTTCAGGTAAGTCTGACTTGAAGATTAGTTGAACTAAATACATAGAGCAAAAGTATGATCGGAAACATAATAATGAGTTTGGACTTTTGAAAAAAATTTATGGCCTGTGGTGAAAATACAAAACCAAGAGTTCATCGAACCCCTTACGATCGAACGTCGTCTGTCATCATGTTGAGATTGAATGTAATACAATTTCTGGAAAAAAAAGGAAAACTGAATTTTCAGACATGACTTGAAATTTGTTTTTATTATCATAACACACACACACACATATATATGAAGGGTAATCGTTTGTGAATGAAACTTAAAGAAACATCACATCAAGAATCAAGAAGCGTTTTTCTCTAAGTATTGAAACAGTTTTCCTAAAAGTTTTTCCATTATTTCAAAGCTTCGATTTTTATCGTTATTTTAAGTTTTATAAATCTTTATAAGATTTATCGTTAGTAAAAACTTTTCTAAAACGTTATATATAGGTGTACTAGAAAAATTATACATATCTATAATATTCACGAACTTTCATTAAAAAAAAATTGAGATCAAGAACATAATGAATATTAATTGTTCACGATCTATGTCAGTTAACTCATTTAACTATGTTGTATTGAACAATATAAAGATAGTTATTTTCTTATGTCAAGAATTAAAGGTTACTTTTCAACGCCTACTCTCGGGTACATGGGGGTTATAAGATTTCTGATGAATAAAAATTAAAATAAAAACCAAACATGAAAAATGCGTCTTGTGAAATACTTTTGCATCAAGTTCCAAGACACATATACCATACTCTTGAAGGAAAAATCAAGTAAAAAATCAAGTAAAATATGTTAAAAAATCAAGTAAAAAATCAAGTAAAATCAAGTAATTAAGTAAAGAATCAAGTAAAATATGTATAACATTTTTTTTTTTGTGTGGCAAACTTATTCTAATAAGAGAGTAAGCATACGGGTTATAATAAAAGTTTGTTTTTTTTTTCTATTATGAAACAACGCAAATGTACAAACTAATTATTTTAACCAATTCATATTACTATCTTTTTAGTTTTGAAAGGAGAATCATTATTCTTTATTATATATTTTTTCACTCCTTTAAGCCCCCCCTTTCCCCAGTGGGAAAGCGGACTTATAACGCTAGAAACTGGGTTTCGATACCCTTGGTGGGAACAGTACAGATAACCCATTGTGTAGCTTTTCTACAAACAAAAAACACTTCTTTAATGCTTTAAAGTATGTACCAAAATGTAGTTAACCTCTGTTGATGTAAAGTTGATATACGAAGTTAAATACGTTATTTAAAACGATTTTGGAAGGACATCTATAAAACCTAAATTTTAACATTAATTGGCGTTAAGTAGGTAATGTCAATTCATTGAAAGTTAATCGTATTTTGGGAAGGGAAGGTAATGGCCCATTCAAACGAAAAATATTAATACTCTCAGATTATAAAGATGTATTCAGATTGGGGACATCTCTTGTACTTAATGGCAATGGAAAACAACTGAATGTGGATCAACTAGGACCATCCAGAAAGAAAAACAAGGGAATATGGATCAGCAGGGACTATCTAGAAAGAGATATACAAAAGTAGTACCCGGCAGTGGTAAGCAAATTGTGGTATCTTTTAAAATGCAACAATTCACGAAGATCAGTGGCAAAAGCAGTCTATGCCCCAGGCAAGAGTATTCACATTAATCAAGAAGGTTCTCCGCCTGGAAAAGCGACAAAAGTCACGTGCACAGAACTTCAACACATCAGTTCAATCGTCGCATACCTCAAACAGCTGAAGAATGAAGCGGGTATTATACTTCTCCATACGAAGATGTACTGGTCAAGTCGCCGGATGCATCGCCTATATATTTCTGTGTGATCTGACTGTTGAAAACGGACGCTGGGAAACATTACACTAGACGGATCATGGAAAGCGTGCCGGGAGAAGGAGTGTGCTTTGGACATAACAGAGCTTTCTACAATAGAAATTCCACTGCAAGTCTATTATTTTCAAAATACAGGGTCGTCGGGTAGAGCATAAATGTGGCGACATGAACTTAACGACGTGGTAAAGCTCCAAATTCGTTTTAATATAACGTAATCAATCTCTGTTTATTAGTGAAAGAATATCAACTAATAACATTTTTCATAAAACCGAAAACATTGAAGTAAAAAATATTTTAAAGTCAAGAATAAAAAAAAACTGATACATAATCAAGAATATTTCATTACTACTGAAATTATATTCTGATTGTCAATAAAATGATGATAAAAAAATTAGATGAAAAACTGTAACTCTTTAGAGAATAGTTATTACTTTCTACAATATAATATAACTCCGATCAAACTAAAGTGAGAGCCTATCAATAAAACTTTTGCTCTGGCCAGATTATACAAGAATATGATTACTTTTATTTTATATGACTTATATTAGTCATGAAGCATTACGTTTACATGGTTACGCTTGTTCAATTAGTTAAACGCACAGTACACTGAAATATCTCAGCTTTAAACCGGTAGTTTTGACAATTGTAGTCACATTTTTTAGATTGATATAGTTCAAATATTTGTATAAGCAGAAAGCCTAAGTTTGGATGATTGGCGTTCTTAGTGACTCTTATTTGTAGAGTAAAGTAGCTCCATGAATAAGTGGGTAGAACATTGCTCATGTATCCAATGAGAAATCAGACTGGAATTAGATCTCAAGTGCTCTCAGTTCATAAAGCACTGGAACTAAATAACCCCATATTGTCACTTCAGATAATTAGTCCAAAACAAATAACTTGAAAATCTATGGGGAATGCAATAGCCATGAAATAAGCTTATATATTACTAAAGGCACAGTGGCACAGCGGTATGTCTGCGAACTTACAACGCTAGAATCCGGGTTTCGATACCCGTGGTGGACAGAGCCCAAATAGCCCATTGTGTAGCTTGGTACTTAATTACAAACAAACAATATTACTAAAGTGAAGATTGACTAACTTTATCACTTTTCTTAGGATTAAAAGAAACACCAATATTTTTAACTTTGAAAATTTTAAAAATTATGATTTGTGAAAAAAGACAAGGTTTATTCTCATGTATTATATATTCATATTTCTACTAATACTTGAGTTAGTATCAATATATATATATCAATTTTATAACCCCCAGTAGCACAGCGGTATGCCTGCGGACTTACAACGCTAGAAACCGGGTTTCGATACCCGTGGTGAGCAGAGCACAGATAGCCCATTGTGTAGCTTTGTGCTTAATTCCAAACAAACAATCAATTTTATAAATTAACGTATACTTCAATATCAAACAGTTTGTATGTATTAATCCTAAAGAAGCTGTAAAAGCGAAACGTTGGTAGTAATAAAAAACAAATATATATACATCTGGAGTGTAAAGGTCATTTATCTAAACTTATCACAATACTTAAGTTATTGTTATAAAAGACACGGTGTTTATTATGTATTATATGCCCACCAGTGGCACAGAGGCATGTCTGCGGACTTACAACGCTAGAATTTAGGTTTCGATACCCGTGGTGGACACAGCACAGGTAGTCCATTGGGTAGCTTTGTGCTTAATTACAAACAAATATGTATTATATATTAATACATCCATTAATACTTAAGTTATTATTATAGATTTTTGGGAACTATTTTACCTAATGTTATTGGTTTTTATTACGACTTTGAAATGACCTTTAATCTTAAGATAAAATAGTGCATTTAACATGCAATTTGAAACAAACGATCATTGCAAATGTTGTGTATATTTAAGATATAAGTATTTCTATAACTTGGTGCGATTAAATAACTTCGATTGCAAGAAGTGTAAATATAAATTCATGAAAAAACCCACATAGAACAAACAATTTTTTATAGTAAAAATAACGTTAAGCGCCACCTTAACTTTTAGTTTTTTATTCCACTTCCACGAATAATATTTCCTACATAACTACCGAGATTATGCAAGATAAATTGTAGGATACGATTGTCTAAGACTTGAGTTGTTAGTTTCGAAAAGGTGTTCAACTAGCACCGTGTATCTGGAAAACACTGGCAAAGGAGTTGGAAGTTTAATTGACAGGTTAATAATATTGTGGAATGAATGAAAAACCTAACAGACTGGGTAATAAATGGAAAGTGTCTGGTTGACAAACCAAAAATTGAATTGAAGTATTAGTTGATATGATAGTTCACTGCGAAAAAAATCGGCAGACGAAGATTTGAACTTTTTTCATGAAAAACGGATAATTTGGACCAAATTCTAAGTTTGTTTTTTCTAATTCCCCATTCTAGCTTAAACATCTGTAAATAAATGATTTTACACTTGTAAGTTAAAATCACATATATTGGCTATACAAAAAGTCTACGTCTTTCTACAATTAGTAAAAGTTTGTTTGTTTGTTATGGATTTCGCGCAAAGCTACACGAGGGCTATCTGCGCTAGCCGTCCCTAATTTAGCGGTGTAATACTAGTGGGATGGCAGCTAGTCATCACCACCTGCTCTTTCATCAACGAATAGTGGGATTGACCGTTATATTATAAAGCCCCACGGCTGAAAGGGCGAGCATGTTTGGTGGGACGGGGATTCGAATCCGCGACCCGCAGATTGCGAGTGGATTACTAAGCTATGCCAGGCTTTTTGTCGTTAATAACATCTGATTCTATCTCGTGGTAGATACTCTATGGCT